GCTTCCGCTTATGAAAAGTCGGACTAAAGTGTCTTCTTTCGAATGGTGAAAACCGCTCTCTACCTATCTCCTGTCAGAAGTTATTCAAAAAGTGGCACCCGGCACTGTATTTTGGTATGGACAGTAGGCGATGTTATTTCATTTAAAATACTTAATACTTGCGTACAAGTAGGCATGCAGCAATCCGATAGTTCGGTGACCGAACGGTTCGTAACCGAACATTTTCGCTCACCAAAGGGTTCGTAACCGAACGTGTTCGGCCTGGAAACTTGATGCGACCGAACGTGTTCGGACGAAGATTGCAGATACGATAGTTTATATTTTCCTCATCGGAGATATCGGCGAGCGCTCTGTTGAGGAACTATTAGGACAAAATACCATAAATCTTATAAAGATACATTCGAATTAAGGCTGCATCTTTCTGTCTACTTTATTTGCACAGTGAGGAAAAGCATTTTTGCATGAAAAGAAAGTAAATCAGAGTAAATAAGTTATAATTGAACCTAAAGGTACTTTGAACTTCCCGGACCAAAACACACTTAAAATTGCTGCTCTAACTCAAACATTTCTTTACATGACTATCTACGGCTACGGCGTAATCATGACTGCTCCTTCATATGGTGTAATCTTCAGCATTTTTTCTGTTTTACAGAGCTTTCTTTCATGTATTTTTTCGCTCTCACGTTCTAAGCTTTGATAAACTAGTTTTTTAAACCTCTGGTAGCGAACCATTCCACCAACATGTTCAGTAGCGATCCGGTAGAACACACATTCGCGCACGTTGTACTTTAGTTAGCCTATTTTCTCACCGGTTAGTTCCTTCAAAAACTTCATTTCGTTTGTCTTTAGTCCAGGCTAGGCATGCAGCAATCTCAAGCTAGGGCTCGCTGAACGGTAGCGAACATGTTCGGTAACAAACCGTTTGGTGATCGAACATGTTCGGTTACGAACTATTCGGTGCCGATCAGCGAGCCCTGGCGTGGGTTGGTTGCATGCCTACGTACAAGGATCAGAAGAAGTATTTTGCAAACCAATCTAGTTTTTTGTGTGAAGAGATGAAGCCGAAGTTTTTATATCACTAGAACCACCATTAAACGAGCTTTCAAAATACGTCCTGCGTTTTTGAAATTCCTCTCCACTGCTGAGAAATTTTACTATTTCTAAATCAGGAACGAAAACATCGGAATTTGACCCATAATTCTACATTTTCGAACTCACTTTTTATGCAATAAAAGTATCAAATTCGCAGTCAACGTCGGAAACTGAGTCGAGTGGTATATGAGTTGAAATTTTTTGCTGATTTTCATTTTCTAGTGAAAATTTCAGTAACTTTTCAACATGAAAATTCGAAAGACACAAAAGTGGTCGTATAGGATAAAAACGTACATCAATCGACTCAGTTTCCACCGCTGACTACGAATATGATACTTTTATTGCACAAAAAGTGAGTTCTGGTGAAGAAAACGTAGAATTATGGGCCGAATTCCGATGTTTTCGCTTCTGATTTGGAAATAGTAAAATTTCTCCACAGTGGAGAGGAATTTCAAAGAACGCAGGACAAACTTTGAAAGCTCGTTTAACGGCGATACTAATGAAATAAAAACTTCGGCTTCATCTCTTCACACAAAAAACTAGATAGGTTTGCAAAAATTTTTGTTCCAAACAAGACAATATACATTTTTCTATTATATATCATTTTGGAGCTCATGAAATTTGCTACAAATCAGCAAGTTCAGAATTTAAGATCGGTAGGACCAAGCCTAGAAAATGGACTATCAGTAAACTAATTAAGGAAAAATGCATCAAAAGCTGAATCGAATGATATACTTTTTTACCCTATCCGACCACCTTTGTGTTTTTCGAATTTTCACGTCCAAGAATTACTGAGATTTTCACCAATAACGAAAATCAACGAAAAATTTTGAAACATATATCATTCGATTCGGTTTTCGACGCAAACTCCGAATATGATATTTTTATTGCATAAAAAATGAGTTTTGATGGAGAAACTAGAGAATTATGGGTAGAATTCCGATTTTTTCGCTCTTGATTCAGAAAGAATGTACTTTCTCAGGAATGAAACAAATTTTTGGAAAAAGCGCTGCATACTTTTGTTCGCCTTTAAATGCTGATTCGAATGGCGTATGACGATCGGAGAAAACTTTCAAAACCAGGGAGGAGATAGGTTTTGCGGAAGGGTAGCTCATTTTGTCGAGCGCCTACTATTGTCAAAATTGTGTAACACAGGTATTTTGTTTTTTTGTGACTCAAAGGTACACGATTAGACTCAGTTTGTTTGATGGTGAATCCGAACATATCAAATTCGAAAAGTTACAGTGAACGGAAGGTGGTAAAATCTCAAGTTTTTTCAGAGGGATGCAAATCTTTTGTTCTGTTGGCGCTCTTAGTATTTTGAGGATTTCTCCCCGAAAACTTGATCGAGTTCGAATCAAAAGGTGATATTCGGAATCAGCTCAGTTAGGGCTATCCGACTATGTAGCTTTCGACCGAAAGTTACGATAGTGCTGCATTTTTGAATTGCGGGCACCTTACTTTGCTGATTCATCAGCAATGGATTGTTGCTACCACACAATGAAATTGGAAATTTTGCAAATTCATAACTAAATAATGATGATAAATTTAGTGGTCGATCTTCACCTAACAGAAGAGCACTTTTCATTTGCTCATCAATATTTTTAATGTTATTAGTATTTTTTCTTATTTGCTTGACTTATTGATACTTGGCTCATAGAAATCATTGTCACGTAATCTCAAGTTTGAGACTGCTCATAATGGTTCTGCCACTGATACTGTTTTATTTACTAAACGTTCATTTACATACTTATATAATGAATCCAAACCAAGCTGTTTATAAGAACATACATTGTAACAATATCGTCATGTATTAATTTTCCAGATAATAATTGTGCAACATGATCGTTTTCACATGAATATAGCTTTTCATAGTTTAATTTTGATAATATCAACGTTAAGTCTTCTTCATCCAATTTTAATCTTGTTGGCGTACATTCAATATGAGCATCAACAGTATTAGTATTGCTTCAGCTATTTCGTTGCTAATTGTTGATAACAATGTTCTGAACGTAAATGTTTTGGGCCATATATCAACTAATTCTGGCCGAAAACGACCTGATATACCACCATGACCCTTTCCCATTTTGTTAATTGTACATTCAATTGTTTGATCCATGCCTATTGTGGAAAATGGTCTTGTTGCCCTTCTTACAGCAAAACATTTTGATAAAATCTGAAATAAAGATTTTGCACATGTATGTAAATCGAGCAGATGTTGTGCTGACAGACACACATAGTTTTGATGATTTGTAGCCAAAAATATCGGTGCTATATTATTAAATGCAGCATTTCTTGCATCAGAATTGGATATCTACAACAGAGAAAGAACTTTAGGTATAAGAGGAAGGAGTGAGATAGAATGCTTTGCTTTGTACGGCTATTTTTATTGGAAAAGGGTGCTGACAAGCCCCTGAGAGATTTCGCAGTTTCGAATAGCCCAATATCTTTTTTTACAGTGACAACCTTTGGACACTGTCATCCGTCTCCTTCCTACTAATCGCTTATCACAATTATAGACAAAAGGCTAGCTTGACGTATAGTTTGGTCTTCTCAAATGCTTGAGCAAAAGAATAACTTACTCTGACTGCCATGTATAAACTGATCAATGGTTCAATTACTTCACACAAAATAAAAGTCCAAAATTTGAATTTCATATTTTGTTTACAGTTTTCATTTTTCCAACTGTCAAATAGACGTCGATATTCTACACCATCAATCCGTGAATAGATTTTGAAACCAACCTTGTTTTTTATTATTATTGGAATAATCATTGGGTATTTGGCACATAATTTTTTGAAATTTAGTCATTATTAACGGCGATAATGTATTGACAAATTCTTGTATTATTAACATGGACAATGCTGTATAAATCAGTTTAAGAGCTCTCAAAGATTTGTTAAAATGCGATACCCAATCTCTACGTCAAAAAAACTATCTGTTGTACTAAGTGCAATAATACTGAAAACAACCAGAGCTTCAAAAGAACGGTTCCTATTTTCCACGCTTCATTTTGAATGCTTTTAAAAATATAAAACCAGGTAAGAACACTTTTCGAAAGTGCTCCTCATAACAGCATTTTGAAACGGCTCGAAAATGCAAACGTGATAAATAGGAACCATGCTTTCCAGATATATATATTTTTTTACAGTGCACTTTACTAACATGATGGAGCTTATCAGTGATGCAGCCGTTCAACAAAATTTTGTACGAATAGAGATTCGAACACATGACAACGGAAAAAGATGGCGTTCTTCGTCTTACGCTTGTAGCCCAGTAACAAAAAGGCCATGGACTTGAAGTGCGCAGGTTACGTGCTTGAAGTATGTCATAAAAAAAGCAAAACAAAACCATATTTCACACTTGAAGCATAGCACAGGTGACGCACTTGATGCATACTGGCTCCATGCTTCACATTGTACGACATTAAAACTGTAAAGTTCTACGGATGAAGTGTAGCATAGCTGTGCTTCATGTGAGGTCAAAATTCTTAAGTGCGATCGTCCTGCACTTCATCTGTGACATCTTACACTTGATCCGTGCTTTTCGGGACAGTGCAAACAGACGGACTGTTGCTTCTCGGCTACATCTTTCGAAAATGTCTCACATTTACATGAAGGTTTGCCGCAAAAATCACGACATATCTCATTTGAATGAGCATCGAATTCTGAGACCGAATTCCGAGATCAAAATTCAAAATGCATCATTACTCTAGTGTACTTGTTCTGAAATGGTGAAAATCATGAAAATCCGTCATATTGAAATGCGTGTTTCACCATCAAATCGAACTCTATTAATATGTGCATTAGATTCCGCGTGGTCAGTTCTATCTGGAAATGTAACCTTTTCTTTTCCACATCGATCCTATAAACCTGCTGAGAGTCACATTTCACAAGCATTACGGGACTTATTGATTTTTGATGGTTCCCCAAGCTAACTATGTTTTCCCCATTTTTGTTGATCCCAATGCACCTTTTCGGCTCTGCACTTCTTGAAACATATGAATCAACTGAGATCCCAATACGTTATTTCCGGTTGCTGAGATATACTTTTAGTCTAAACTTCAAACGAAACATACCATCTTGTAGAGACTTGACTTCTTTATCGACTAGTGTGGTCGTCCATTTTTTAGGAAAAGTGTCTAAGTGAGAAAATTGAAAATACAGTTTTGGAAAAACGTAAAACTGGATTTTTGCCGCCAAAATTTAACTTTTTTAAAAAATAATGTAAGATTCGTTGTTAGCATCCAAAACTACATATAGTTATGTGCTTCTGTCGGTTCTGCTCTAAACTAATTTTTTCAAAAACTTGATCAGCGAAGTATCGAGTTACGTGGACAAGCCGAACAGATACATAGCTTTTTGGCGTTGAATTAAATAATGAGACAGCCTAACGTGATAATCTCTATATTTTTCACCATCCAAAAGAATCACTGGAAAATCCGAGTACCGGTTTGTGTTTTTCGATAGTTTTAGTTTAGAATATTATAATGGAATATTTTTCCGCTTGTATTCTGACAGAATAAAGCTTATATCAAGTTCCGTCCTCTAGTTAACTGTCTTTTTTCCTACAGTCTGACTTGCGCCAACTGTTCCAGTTATTTAGGCAAACATCAAAGGATTTAATTCTTGCATCTCTTTTCTTTACAATCGTGATTGACACTTATAGTGGAACTAAAAACGTGTTTATCATGGGCGGAATTGATCATGAAATCGCACAATTTTATTCTGAAGTGCTTAAACGTGAATTTGTTGATTTTTCACTGATTCCTGCATTGATAGGCGTCTATCTGAAGATTTCTTGTCTATGTCTGATACGTTGTGAGATGATGCCATCCATTATCAATGATTTATATGCCAATCGATAAAGGATGGTGAGCTAGTAACACCCTAGAATGATTTCAGCTCATGGCACTTAAAAAGTAAAAGTTACAAATATATTGTTCACAAGTGAAGTCACCAAAAACCGTTGGTTCACAGATGGTGATTTACAACATTGTTGTAAACTCGGTTTTTTTAGAACAGCTTCAGCAGTATAGTTGGATCCCATTAAATGATCATCGTATCTGCCTATTAATCAATCAATGATTTGCCAACTATCTCTGCTTCCGGTATCGTAAGGTCTTTTCATTTACTAAAGATTAAAAATGAAACTGAAGCTAACAAAAACAAAGCTGGAAAATATCTTTTATTATTCGATAGATGTATAAGAAAAGAAAAACAAAAAAGAAAAAATTATCCCACGAGAGAACACTGCGAGATGATACCATGCATTATCAATGATCTATATGCCAATCGATAGAAAATGGTGAGCTGATAAAAACCCTAAAAGCATTTCAGCTCATGGCACTTCTTTCAAAGTCATGATTTCTTTTGTTTTCTTGCCCTAGGAGGTCAAAAATACTAAAAATTCTGTAACTCAGCCGAAACAAAGAACTAAGGACTGAAATTTCTTCGAAGAAATTCGAGACAACAACGAGAGCCGTAATACCCACTGCGACAGGAACAGATAAACTTCGCGAGCTGTCGATCGTCCTGTATTGATATATGACACCATGGCAAAGATCAAACAACGCCTGGCACTCAACACCCATGCGATCGAAAGGACAGACACAAATCACTGTGTAATACTGAATGATATATTTCCCGACTCCGGCGCATAAACAGATGGTTGTGAAACCGCACTAGCTACCGACCAATTCTGATCACATTGACAATACTCGCGTTGTGATGCATTCAAATATACCCCCTCTCTGATGCAATGCTAAAGCCTTTGCATGACTCACAGGATTCTTCATCTCGTTGGTACCAGGAGAAAACTGGGATCGCGTCATACCCGAATGTCGACAAACCCCTACGTTAGTCCAGTTTTCCAAATCCATATATCGAATGAGTTATTTAACACTTTCTAGTTATCTAAACTGTAAAAAACGTTAAAACTTCGAAATTCAAAATTTAAGTATACAACATATACTTTACGCTAGAAACTCAATTTTTTTTTGAAATTATAGTTCGTTTAATTTTTAACACGATGGTCGTCTCGAAATTGTTTCAAATCCCGGCAGTGCTTTTTGGAGAAAATATTCTTTTGTACATTGGTATCTAAACAATCATGGATATCAAGAAACACTACTTCCAAGCACTTCAGAAAAACACTAAGTGCGCTAAAAGAAAAGAGCACATTTCAAATCCTTTAACCGACGACTGTCATTAAATTTAGTCCAATATTATAATCGAACTTTTGAAAAGTTCACTTTATATGCACGTAAAGTTCGGAATTATACAATTCTGAATGCTAATTATTTTATTATACTTGATCCGTTATAGTGGGAAGTTTTGAGATTCTAAAAAATAGTTGTAAATGTCTAATTTTGACGTATAACCTTAATTATTTTTAAAGTTTACATAATGTAATTGTATTCGCGCACCTTTAGGTATGTGATAATGGTTTCAAGAACAATTCCACTTTCCTTGAATATTCTGGATGTTACTTCAGGTAAAACCGCTTTAATGTAATTATTTTTATTTATCAACTCAAGAACCTGTGTCTCATGATAGATTACTTAATGCGGTTGCTTTGAACCTTTTCATTTGGAAATTCAGGCCCGTTTATTCAGGCATGACTGAATAAACAGGCCGAAATATCCGAATGAAAGGGTTCATAACAGTCGCATTAACCAATCTATTCTGTGTTAAATCGTTGCCCGTTAAAGTCGGTCTCGTAAATTGTGAACATTGAAATACTACATAAAAATGCCCGTGAGTTTATTATTCACTATTTTCATAGTAAGCAACAAAAAGACATA